AGTCACGGTGCATCTTTTTGACACCTGGATGTATGGAATAGTGCGAACTGTGAGTCTCCTCAAGGATCAGCTCTCTCAACCCATCAACATTTGGAACACAAATCCGGCCTTGAAGTCGCATAACACCTTCATCTCCAATCACAACCTCCTTGACACTACCCAGCTGCACAGTGTCTTTCAACACCAACTAGTGAGGATCATCAAACTAGCGAGACTTGATACGCTCTAATAATGATGACTGTGCCACAACACAATCGACAATCTGGCTAGGCTCCGAAATATCCAATCTCATAAATCGTTGGGCCAAAGCCTGAACATCCATGGCTATTGTCCTCTCCGCTATCGGTAAATATGTCAAACTACATATGCTCTCTACCTTCCTACTCAATACATAGGCCATTATATTGGATTTTCCCAGATGATATAGTATGGTGGTATCATAGTCTTTCAATAACTCTAACCATCTCCGCTGCCGCAAATTAAGGTCCTTCTGCTTGAATAGGTGTTGGAGACCCCGATGGTTGATACAGACCTCACTTGGAACGTTGTATAGATAGTGCCTTCAAATATTCAACGAGTGAACAATGGATTCCAAATCTAAACCATGCACAAGGTAATTCTTCTAATAAACCTTCAACTGACGAAATGCGTAGGCAATCACCTTAATGTCCTGCATCAATACCGTGCCAAGCACAATACGTGATGCATCACAATACACAGTGTAAGATCCACAACATGTAGGCAACACCAACACGGGGGTTGTAGTCAATGCAGTCTTGAGCTTCTGAAATCTCTCCTCACACTTGTCGGACCATTTGAAAAGAGCACCCTTCTGGGTCAACTTGGTCATTGGGGCTGAGATAGATGAAAGCCTCTATGAACCGACGATAATAACCTACCAAACCTAAAAAGCTCCAAATCTCTATAGCTGAAGTAGGTCTAGGCCTCTCTTGAACTGCCTCAATCTTCTTAGGATCCACCTTGATACCCTTAGAAGACACAACATGGCCCAGAAAGGCAACCGAGTATATCCAGAACTCGAACTTCGAAAACTTGGTATATAACTGACGATCCTTCAATGTTTGAAGTACAATCTGTAGATGTTGGTCATGCTCCTCTCGACTACGGGAGTAAACCAAAATATCATCAATAAAGACAATCATGAAGGAATCCTTATAAGGATTGAACACCCGATTCATCATATATATAAAGGCTGATGGTGCATTAGTCAAGCCAAATGACATCACCATGAACTCGTAATGACCATAACAAGTTCGAAAACTGTCTTAGGGATATCCGATGCCCTAATCTTCACCTTATGGTAGCCCGAACTCAAATCAATCCTGAAAACCACCTTGGCACCCTGAAGGTGGTTAAATAAGTTATCAATCCTCGGCAACATATACTTGTCCTTGATAGTAATCTTGTTCAACTGCCAATAATCTATGGACATCCTCATTGATCCGTCCTTTTTCTTCACAAACAAAACCGGTGCATCCAAAGGCGAGACACTATGTCTAATGAATCCCTTGTCAAACAAATCTTGCAACTGCTCTTTTAACTCTTTCAACTCAACTGGATCTATAAGGTATGGTGGAATAGAAATAGGCTGAGTGCCTGGAACCAAGTCAATGCAATATTCGGCATCCATGTCCCGTGGCATGGCTGACAAATCTGTCGGAAACACCGCATGAAACTCACTCACCACCGGTACCGAATCCATAGAAGGCACCTCGGCACTAGAATCACATATATAATCCAAATATGCCAAACACCCCTTCTTAACCATACGCCGAGCCTTCACATATGAAACCACCCTACTAGTGGAGTGACCAAGAGTCCCTCTCCACTCCAATCGAGGCAACTCGACATGGCTAACGTCATAGTCTTGGAATGACAATCCAAGATAGCATGATATGGGAACAACCAATACATACTTAGAATAACCTCAAAATCAACCATATCTAACAAGAGAAGATCAACTACGGTATGGTAGCCCTCAATAGTGACCAAACAAGAGCGACAGAAATGGTCCACCATAATAGAATCCCAAACGGGTGTAGACACATAGACAAGAGTATCTAAAGAATCACGAGACATGTCTAAATATGAAGCAAAATAGGATGACACCTACGAATAAGTAGAGCCCATATTAAATAAAACTGATGCATCTCTATGATAGACCAGAACAATACATGTTATGACCGCATCAAGCGACTTTCCCTCAAGTCTAGCTGGAAATGTATAGCAACAGAGCTGAGCCCCACCAATTTGAACCCCCACCTCTTGGACGGCCTCTCACTGACTAGACTCTACCTCTAGCTGCCTAAACCCCGCCTCTAGCTGCCTAAGCTAGTGGTGGAGCAGCCGATGCCAGAATATGGCACGAGTACCCTGTTGTGGCATATTGCTCTAAAGTCTAGGACAGTACCTCCTAATGTGACCCATACCTCAACACTCAGAGCACTCTCTCTGCTGACATAGTTGCTAAATCTGGGACTGACCCAGACGGTCCGAATAACCATTGTGACAGCTCTGAAATGTCGGTGCACCGATGGGAGCTGAAGGTGTACTGAATGTTAAATGCTCGGGACGAGATCCATGAGAAGCATGACTGTCTGAAGCACCATGTAATATCTGAAAGCATTGGCTGAACTGGCCTGATTGGATGGCCTCTACCAAATGAACCCCTGCCTCCAGATGAGGCACCACTGAAACTACCAAAATGAAGAGGCCTCTTCTCAAATGTTGCCTCTCTACCTTGGCCACAAATCTTCCCAATCCGCCTAGCAATATCAATAACCCGGGTAAAAGAAATATCATCCTCGGTCTCTCTAGCCATCTATAGCCTGATGTCGTAAGTAAGGCCATCTATAAACCTATGCACCCTCTCCCTCTTAGTAGGGATGAAGACAATTGCATGGCATGATAATCCACGAATTTGGTCTCATACTGATTAATAGTCATGCTACCTTGTTGAAGGCTCTCAAACTGCGAAAGTCCTTTGTTTGAGTGAAGGGGATGAACTTCTCCAAGAATTACTGTGAGAATTGCGCCCAAGTGAGAGGAGGTGAATCGGTTGGTCTGCCCTGAACATAAACCTTCCACCACCTCTTGGCTGAACCATGTATCTGAAATACTGTGAAGTCATCCGTTGGACTCCACTATAACCATGTTGCGCAGTATCTCATGGCAATGGTCTAAGAAATCCTGGAGGTCCTCTAAAGGTGTACCAGTAAAGCGAGGGGGGAATAACTTAGTGAACTTCTCCAACCTTTTCAGCCCCTCGACTGAGATAACAAGTCTCTCCCCGGACTGTGTAGCAATAACAGGCTGAACTTCTCCAATTGGTAGAACTACAAGGGTCTGATACCCATGAGCTATATGCTTTAGAGTGTGAGTAGCGGGAGACTGGGCTCTTCCATCAGCCTGAGAGACAGCTGGTGCTACAGGAAATACACTAGTATAGGCCATACTCTCCATAAGACTAACCAAGCAGACTAGGGCGTCCTGAAGTACTGGAGTGGCGATGAACCCCTTTGGGACCTAAGCTAGTCCTACTAGCGCAGTCGAAACATGGATATCCTCTTCCTGCTCTATTCGAGGTTCATAAACAGGTGCTGTTGTGTGTGCTCTAGGCAGAGCTCTGTCTCTGCTTTTGGCTCTACCTCGGCCCCGGCCCCTACCCCTGGTAGTGGCTATGACCCGGGGCTCCATCTCCTGATCACCTGTGGATGTCGTACGTGTCCTCACCATCTACAAGAGATTAAGAGAAGAATGATTCAAACTAAAAAATAGAATAAGGTTGCACGATACAGAAAGAAAGAAAGTGAAATTTTCTAAAGCCTTATAGCCTCTACAAGATAAGTACAGATGTCTCTATACCAATCCTCAAGACTCTATTATACTTGCTCATGACTCGTGAGACCTAGGCAACCTAGTGCTGTGATACCAACTTGTCACGACCCAAAATCTCAATCACAGGGCGGTGATGGTGCCTAACATCCGCTTGCTAGGAAAGCCAACACTAACTAATCAACTATTCAATCTTAGCAATTTAAAAGCAAATGATTAAGACTATGAATCTGAAATACTTGTAATATAATAATCTGAAATCAACAAGTCTAGTCTAAACCCAGAAATCGGTGTCACAAGTACATGAGCTGCTAAAAGTACTACAAACAAGGTCTGAAATAAAATTCAACTATCGGAATGAATTAAATAGTATAGTAGGTAAGCATGGGATATCAGGGTCTCCGAACGCCGTGCAACTCTATCTCAAGTCTCCTGATAATGACAGTCCAAGCCTATCTCCTCTAAGCGCCGCTAGGACCAACACTGGGATCTGTTCAAGAAGTGCACAAGTGTAGTATGAGTACAACCGACCCCATGTACTCCGTAAGTGACGAGCCTAACCTCGACGAAATAGTGATGAGGCTATAACAAAGCACTCACAATAAATCTGTACCAGTATAAGTAGAAAATAATAATAAAACAGAGAAAACAACAATAATATGAAAACCGAAATTAAAAAAACACACAGCAAAGGGCCCTAGCCTAAAGTATCACCTATGCTCAATTTCACAACGCAATACTGAAACAGAACCAACAACCAAGAACAATCAGAATATATCTTCTCCGTTGCGGCGCGTAACCCGGTTCCCATATGCAATTTTAATATTCGTTGCGACGTACAACCCTATTCCAAATATCTAATCAATATCCATTTGGCGTGCAAACCGATCCCAATATCATAAGAACAATTAAATTTCAATTCAAATTTAAGGCTTAACAGCACCTTGAGATTAAAATTGTAAACCACCCCAAGTCGTCTTAAAAGAAATCCAACACAAGCTTATTGATCCAAATGAATCAGTGTCAAGGTTATGCTCCAACAATCGGGTCAAAAGCCTAAAGAAGACCAAAAAAAAAAAAAAATTTTAGGAAATCTGAAGAATTTTGCATGGTCAAACGGGTGTTTAACATCTCCCGCTAGAAAGGGCAAAGAGGGCGGATTCATAATAAAAGCTGGGTCAGGAAAGCGTGCCGTCATCCAAAAGACACGTTCCTTATTTGCAATTTCAATTGCCTAAAAGCATTCTTTCAGTGTGATTTACAGAAAAATCTCATAGATACACCTAAACTGAGAATCGCGCCGTTCACAGACTGTATTCGAGAGAATGGCAACTTTTGAACAAGCTCCAGCAGGTGATCCTAAAGCCGGAGAAAAGATATTCAAAACCAAATGCGCTCAATGTCACACTGTCGAAAAAGGTGCTGGTCACAAACAAGGTAACTGGTCCCTATTTCATATAAAATTATGAAGATTTTCAATTGGTTTATGCTACTGCTACAATGATTCGAGACGTGAATATGATCTGCAGATTAAAGTTGTACGTTATGCTGCATTTATATTTGTTAAAAGAAATGTGTTCAAGGTTGGCGTGAATGTTTGAAGAATATAATTATAATCTTTCTTCTATGACAATTAAAATAAAGATTGCTCTCTGGGCACATATGTGGTTGTTGGAGACGCGTTTGTGAATTTCCAGGTCTCCCGTGTGAGATAGTGCTTGGGTTTCAGAGCAGCCTCAAATTGCTTTTTGACTATATGAATCTATCAATATTTGTGTTTCTCTATGTAGACCTCAATTGCTTAAACATGAAGATTTAGGTTATCCAAATTCTCCACATTTTCTATTGACATACAAATCTCTAGAGTCTCTACAACGACAACATGCCTCAGTTTTCCAAATAAGTTGGGGCTGGCTATATGAATCCTTACTTGCCTGTATGAGCTTGCTCACGTTGCCGGTCTCAAACCTGAATAGAATAAGAAGAAGGGTTGCGGAAGGCTGGCAGTAACTAGCCAACTTCATGACATACAAATCTCTACCAAGACAAATAACTCTCCGTGATCTAAACCTTAATCACAACCAAAAAGAAAAAAATCCTAATCAATAGTAGATTTTATGCTTCTTTATGATATGTCTGGAACATTTCACCATGTCTACTTCTAATTTTTAATTGGGTTCTTTATGGATTTGCTTCTCTGACATACTTGGATTTGGAATGATGCCTATGATATGTACAGTATACTTTTCTTGTCTACTTTATATAGCAAGGGTGCTTCTCTTATACATCCTAAATTTTTAGGTCCCAACTTGAATGGGCTATTTGGGAGGCAGTCTGGTACAACTCCAGGTTACTCTTACTCTGCTGCTAACAAGAACATGGCTGTGACATGGGGAGAGAATACACTATATGACTACTTGCTCAACCCTAAGAAGGTCAGAATAATTTGTGTTTGCTTTGCGAGCTATGTTGCGCGGACTCTCCAAAATGTAGCCGCACCCATGTCGGATCCTTCAAAATGCACTGCTGTTGGAGGATCCGACACGTATCCAGCCACATTTTCGGAGAGTCCGAGCAACATAGTTTGCGAGATATATCCGTTTTGAATGACTTCAGTTCTTCACAAATACTGAGTGTGAGCTCCTTGAAAAAAATTGCTTCTAGTGGAATTTAACTATATACGTCAACGTGACCTTTCTCTCTTTTTTTCTCTGTTTTCCCCTGAAGTCATGTGTCTCTTTTATTTGTTGGCCACAGTTAGGAGGTATCAGTTACTTGAAAGAAAAAGTTAAGAGGAATTAGTTACTTAAAAGAAATAGTTTATTATTTAAATCAGTCAAAACTGTTAAGTGGATGGTTTTCCTACTTGAGTTGATAAATAATTTAAGGACACTTGGATATAAAAGAGCTGGCTACTGCAACAATTGAACCTCAGAGATGACTGACTGAAATAATGTGTGAAACAACTGATGGACATGAGGACATGAGGTATCAAGATACGAAAAAGCAAACTACTTTTGTGCCTCAGGGATGACTGACTGATAAAATGTGTGTAAATGGTGGGAGAAGAGGAGAGTATGACCCTTAAGGGAATCAAACATAGTTCTAGCAGCAAACCTAGAAAACATATTGCAATTTTGTGCCCTTCGTTCACCAAGTTTATGCATAGGACTGTTGAAAGTGGGAATTGAAGAGGTCTTTGCACCTCGGAGTTGAGTGCTTTTGGGATATCATCTTGTGTGTAAGTTGTGTGAAGCTGCAGTAAATTCCACTGAACTTTTCAGGTTTAAATAGCTTGAAAATACTAAAATGCTCAGGACTATGGTAAATGAAACTCAGGGATGAATGACGGGGCAGATGCTAAGAACAACTTGGTTGCAGTTCTTTCTGTGTGGATCATGATCATCATCATCATCATGCTCTTGCATAAGACTGTACATTAACATGCATCGTGGCTTGTTCTTATATTTTCATCTCGTACAACTTAGAGCTCAAATTAGATGTGCTAGGAATCTTTTCTTGAGGTATATATGTGTATGGATGCTTGTTAGAAGCTGAATGACTTGAAATCCTTTCTTTGCAGTACATCCCTGGAACAAAAATGGTTTTCCCTGGGTTGAAGAAACCACAGGAGCGCGCAGATTTAATAGCTTATCTCAAGGAAGCAACTGCGTGAAAACTTTCCTCTACAGAAGCATGATAATACTTTTTGGTAGTGGCCTAGGGAATAGTTTGGTCATTGGTGCCAGTTATAGTTCAATTCTTTGTTACAGTCTTGTTATTTCTCCAATAAACTAGTCCAAGCGGATCTTTAAGACATCTCTCTAGTTGAACTAAAGCTGGTAACGAGGAATTTTGTCAAGATAACAGTTACTGTCTTCCAAACATTTATGTGCTTACAGATGTGCCTTAGCATCAAATGAAAGACTGCATTCTTATCCAGTGAGTTGTTTAGTCCTGGAGTTTTTCATTTTTTTTAGTTAATTGAATTGACCTAGAAAAGGAAAAAAGAAAATTGGTTTCTGGATCACCATTGTTGTTTGTTTTTCTTTGTTCTCTTCATTAAAATCGCCCTTCTGGGTTCTTATCACCCAAAAAGAAAAAACAGGACATTTTGACCATTATGGGTCTTCCCCTGAGTGTTGAAGACTGCTTGAGCGTGTATCTGCATATCTGGACCTTTTTGGGAAACCTGGTGTTGATGTGAGCTATAGCCGGAAGCTCAAGTTTAAGTCTTAGCATTAGCCCATTCCCATTTATTTATCTGTACAGGCTACAGGCCCATTATTTTTTCATTGTAATTTTGTTGTAGTCTTTACAGTCTAGGCCCAATATATAAATAGGGGCCCATCTTTGTATAGAGACAGATTTTCCAATTCATTTTTCTCTCGGTTGTTCAATTAATAAAAGCATCGAGATATTATTCTCTCAACCGACTCTCTCTTCCTCAACATGAAGCCCTAATGGAGTTTCACTGATTTTGACGAATTCTCTCAAGTTAACATGGTATCAGAGCGGGATCTCGCTTAATTTCATCATCTTCTTTTGTCCGATGTTACCCGTCTTCTCTTCTTCGTTCAATTTTCGTTGCTGAGTTCGATTTGGCTTGGTTTCTTCGCTGGATTTTTTTTCTTCTTTTGGTGCTGAGAACCTTGTTGCTGCTTTGATTAGCTTGTTGCTGCTTTGATTACTCTTCAATTTCAGAAGGTTGTGTTTTCCGATTGCGGAAAACTCCGGTAAACCTATTTTTTTGGAATACTGCTTGTTAGGGTTTCAGTGTATGTGAATATTGCGAGAATTGATGAATATTTGATATGGCTCCGGTCGATTCTGACATTAATGGAACATCTACTCCTCGTGAACCTACTGAGTTTACCCCTAGACCCTCGAGTCCTCTATTTCTTCACTCTTCTGATATACCCGGGCTATCTCTGGTTCCTGTGCCTTTTTCTGGGTCTGGTTTTGGGGGTTGGCGAAGGAGTATCATTGTTTCCCTGTCTGCTAGAAATAAAATTGAGTTCATTGATGGAACTTTCCCTAGACCTCCGCACAATTCTCCAGAATGCAAGCAGTGGGATAGGTGTAATAACATGGTTATCTCATGGTTGACTAGTTCCCTGTCCCCTAGCATTGCTGAGAGTGTTCAGTATTCTGAAACAGCTGAGATATTTGGACACAATTGAATAAAAGATATGGCACTGTAAATGGAACTAAGGTTTTTGAAATTAAAAAGGAATTAGCTTCCACAAATCAGGGTGCTCTAGACATTGCGTCATACTTTAACAAACTGAAGAAACTTTAGGATGAACTGAGGGTTATGCGTTCTAGCCATAGCAGCATCTGCACTTGTGCTGCTAAGGCTGGCATCCAAAAAGAGGAGGAGGAATATAGGCTGCATCAGTTTCTCATGGGGTTGAATGACACATATGTCAGTGTTAGGAGTAACCTTCTCATGATGCAACCACCTCCATCCTTAGACACTACTTACAACATTTTACTTCAGGATGAAAGACAGAGGCAGGTCAATCCATCCACTCAGTTCAGCCCTGAGTCTGCCTCATTCAATGCTGCCTCACTTAATTTCTCTCAGCCATCACATCCTCAGAAACAATATCCTCAACGAGTGTCTTTTGATTCAAATAGAACTGCTCAATTTTGCAAGTATTGTAAGAAGAGTGGTCATCTAATTGACAAGTGTTATAAGTTGCATGGATTTCCTACTGGTTTCAAGTTTACCAAGGGTCGGAAGATGGCTGCAAATGCTGAGGTTGAATTAGCTTCCAATAGTGCTGAATCTCCTATTCCTAGTACTCCTAGTCATTCAGATGGTACTTCCTCAGTCACAGGCCTCACCAAAGAGCAGTATACTAAGCTCATCTCCTTACTGCAGCAAGCTCATGTGACTGATCCATCTACTACTCAATCCAGCTTGATGGCATCTGCAAACTTTGCTGGTAATCTTCCTTTAACTGCTTGTGTGGAAGTTCAGTATAGTGCATCTTTGTTGAGTAGAGTAGCTGAATATAGTTGGATTTTAGATTCTGGGGCCACACACCATATGACTTCACATGAAAATATCCTTTCCAACATTCAACCTCTAACAATCCCCTATCTTGTCACACTTTCAAATGGCTATAAGGTGAAATTAACGTGTACAGGATCTCTTAAGTTGTTTTCCTTCACCTTAGATCATGTTCTTTATGTTCCTACTTTCCACTATAATCTCATTTTTGTGTCTCAGCTAGCTATCCAACTTCATGGCATGGTTCAATTTGACTATCTTTCATGCATTTTACAGGCCCCTTCACTGAAGAGGCCACTGGAAGTTGGTAAGCTGGAGCATGGTCTTTACAGACTCCTCATGTCTCCCTCAGAATCTACTACATCTGATGCTACTGTTAGCTTACCTTTTGTTTCCAATGCAACTTTACATTGTAAATATCCCTTGAATGTTTCTGATTCTTCCTCTGTATCTCTTCCACATGTTTTACATTGTAAAAACCATTCTTCCATTAATAAAGAGGAATTTTTATGGCACCAAAGATTGGGTCACATTCCTTTTGTTAGATTGAAATATGTTTCTGATATTCCTTGTGAATTCTCTTCCAAACAGTCGTTTACTTGTTCCATCTGTTCGATGGCTAAACAATCAAGTTTGCCTTTCCCTGATAGTAGCATAAAGACTTCCCATCCTTTCCAATTAATTCATGTTGACACTTGGGGCCCCTACTCTACTTCTACTTACAATGGTTTTAAGTACTTTCTCACCATAGTTGATGACTTCACTAGAGCAACCTGGACACACCTCATGGGTTCCAAAAGCAATGCTTTTCCTTTACTTCAAGCCTTTCTTGCCATGGTTAAAACTCAATTTTCCACCAAAGTTAAATGTGTTAGAAGTGATAATGCCCTGGAACTTGGTTCTAGCAACCATGCTATCCAATTTTTTAAAGACCATGAAATTTTTCATCAAACTAGTTGTCCCCATACACCACAATAAAATAGTGTTGTAGAAAGGAAACACAAGTATTTGCTTGAGATCTCTAGGGCCTTACTTTTCCAATCCAAGCTCCCAATCAGATTCTGGGGGGAGTGTGTGCTCACTGCCACATACCTCATCAATAGGTTCCTTTCCAAATTACTTCAGAATAAATCCCCTTTTGAATTACTTTATGGACATTCTCCTTCCTATTCTCACCTCAAAGTTTTTGGTTGCCTTTGCTTTCACACCATCCCTAAGTGCCACAGGGATAAGTTCCAACCAAGGGATGAACCTTGTGTATTTCTTGGCTATCCTCTTGCTAAGAAAGGCTAAAAGTTGTTCAATCTCTCTACCAAACAGGTTCTTGTCTCCAGGGATGTAATCTTCCATGAACATGTATTTCCATTTGACACTTCCGCCTTTCTTTCCCCTTCTTTTTCCTCTTCTTCTCTCCCTGTCTATAATGATCCTTCTGATTCTGCTGCAGATGAATTTTCTCTCCCTCCTTCTCCAGTTACATCTTCAATTTCTCACCATTCTTCAACTCAACCCTCTTCTCCTCCTCCTATACCCTCTACATCCTCCATTCAGCCTACCAGAAATTCTTCCAGACCTCATCACCTTCCTGCCCATCTTGATGATTTTGTCTGTGCTCTGCCTCCTTCTTTACTTGGCTCCAGTTCTTTATCCACTTTAGTTCAGTATTCCTCTCACAATGTTGCTATTGAGCCTCAGTTTTATCATCAGACTGCTTCTATTCCAGCCTGGCAAGAGGCTATGAGAAAAGAATTTGAGGCCCTTGAGGCAAATCACACTTGAACTATTGTTGAATTGCCTACAGGTAAGAAGCCCATTGGTTGTAAATGGGCTTACAAGATTAAATATAGGGCTGATGGTAGTGTTGAGAGATACAAGTTTAGGTTGGTAGTAAGAGGAGATACACAGGTGGAGGGGGTGGACTTTACTGAAACTTTTTCACATGTGATTAAATTTTCCATTGTTAAGTGCTTAGTGGTTGTGGCTGTTAAAAGGCAATGATCTCTCTTCCAACTTGATGTCAACAATGCCTTTTTGCATGGTGACTTAGATGAGGAGGTATACATGAAGTTGCCTCCAGGGTTGTGTGTGATTCTGCTTCTTGTTCTTCTAGTTCTTTGGTGTGTAAACTTCAAAAGTCCCTCTATGGTCTCAGGCAGGCTTCTAGGCAGTGGTATGCCAAATTATCTCTTGCTCTTCACACTAGGGGGTATACACACTCTTTGAATGACTACTCTTTATTTGTTAAAAAGTCTGCTTCCTCTATTGTTTTGTTGGCTGTTTATGTTGATGACATTATCTTCACTGGTGATGATGAGACTGGAATTCTTGCATTGAAAGCTTTTTTGGATGATCAATTTAAAATCAAGGACTTGGGTACCCTTAATTATTTTCTTGGAATTGAAGTTGCTTCCTTTCCTTCTGGTTTGCTTTTTCATCAACACAAGTTCATATCTGATGTGCTTCAAGAGTATAACTGTTCTGAGGTTACCCCTGTTGTTTGTCCCTTGGATTTGAATCTAAAGCTTAAAGCTGATGTTGGTGAGCTGCTGCCTAAACCTGAACAATTCAGGAGTTTGATTGGCAAGCTGAATTTTCTCACACATACTAGGCCTAATTTATGCTTTGCAGTCCAGCACCTGAGCCAGTTTCTTCAGTCTCCAAGAGTTCCCCATATGGATGTTGCCCTTCATCTCCTTCGTTATTTGAAGGGCACTTCTGATTTGGGTATTTTTTTTAACTGAACTTCTGATATGTTTTTAACTGCATATTATGACAGTGATTGGGCTGCTTGCCCTGATACTAGGAGATCTATGACTGGGTTTAGCATTTTTCTTGGTGGTTCTCTCATTGGTTGGAAGTCCAAGAAACAACCTGTTGTTTCTCTTTCTTCGGCAGAGGCGGAATACAGGGCTGTTAGCAAAGTGGTTGCTGAACTTGCTTGGCTCACTCGTTTACTTAATGATCTTAATGTTTCAGTTCCTTCTCCTGTTCCTGTTTTTTGTGATAAC